AGACTCGAAACAGGTGAACTACTTGACTAATTCCAGTACAGAACCTATAGGATGTTGCGCATGCGCGACTGAACGAATCACTCCCCGAGACGACTCGTTCCTCCCGAGTCACATTAAAGATTCGTTCAAAATGAACGAATCGTTCAAGAACGACCCAACACTAATCAGCAGATTCGGCACATTCGCGTAGAAAAGCGGCGCTTTCACATTATTGTATTACAACTGTGAAATTACAAACAAAAAATACACATTCTGGGACTTTAACTGAAATGAATTGTGAATTTTATTAACATTAAATCGTCCTCATTTTCACCTCAAAATTTTTGGGAAGCTGTGCCTCCCCCGACGATCAGGGTTGTTAATGCTGTGGTTATTTTATCAGTTTCCTTCGTACATTCAGTTTAAATCGAGAAAACGAATGAGTTACACCCCTAGTATGAGGTGTCAGTGTCGTTGCCACGACAACATAAACACAGACAACAACTTAAGCAGATATTAATCTATACCACAGTTCATGATATGTGTGCATGCACATGTCTGTGTGCACTAACCACTAACCACGCTGATCTCCGAAAGTTTCTACAAATGGATGTGAAATGTGTGCTCGTTATTTTGTTGATCCACCTGGCTTACATTGTTTTTGGTGCGTGATAAAATTATAAGTATTTCAACACATGACTTGTGCCAACAGGCTACACTGTTTTCACAACATTGCTATGAGCTATGAGCAGGCTTGGGCTAGAGCTGACGGATATTACCAGATCATGTCTGAACAAATCAACCTCTACTGGGAACCCTTTCCCAAGCACTGTGTTGAGTTACATGGCACGGTTAAATCATCTCTCTACTGAACATGTTATTTAGACCAGGACTAGTCATAATGTTTTTTTCTTTTAAGTGCAAGGAAAGTCCCATTTCATAAAAGAGTGGGTGGAAGAGAGATTATCTGATTGCCTTTATGTTTATGTAAGCAGGTGATGTGACATCTATCTCCTAGAAACATGCACAAGAACTAAATATTTTTTTGAAAGAGAGATAAATTTTAGTACACTCAGAATAAGAAGGAAGAATCTGAGCATCTATTTTTTTCTCAGTGTAATCACATAATAAGTTATGTAATTTCCTTTAGCAGCACTGTCTATATGAAACGGACTGTGGCTGTGTAGCATCATTGCACTCAAAGTCAGATCTACTGATGTGTCTGGATACCTCCATCATCTGGGACAGGTTTGAGATGTTATCTTCTATATAATGTTTATTTTGTCTACATGGCCTCTTTTCTGTTTTTTTACTCTTCCAAAGACAATAAACTTGACTGGGCCTGACATTAATCTTAATCAGGATGGTTAATGATGAGGCATCATCATGCATTCATAACCCATAAAAGAACAATACCATAACATTCTTCAGTATTACTCATAAAAAAATAGCCTAAACTTGTTCTCGTTATACAGGCGTTACAGTTTTGATTGCAGAGTCATGTTTAATTTGCCTTTCCAATAGTACATGCCAAAATAAGGCAATGTTGTGTCAGAAAACAGGAAACACAAATGCCTTTAATGTTAAATAAATAAATAAAGTTATTATTAATTAATGTTAAATAAATAAAGTTAATCAAAGGCAAGCAGTACTCAATTCAGATTTCAGATAGGCTACTACAACAATCATACAAATAAAAATGAATGAATAAATAAATATGACAATAATAATAATAATAATAATAGTCAATGCAGCATTCAAATACATAATAAATTAAAAATTAGGTAGCCTAATAAAAATACAATAGTCCTCATTCATGACACACAATGACACAATTGCAATTATTGTTTTCCTGAAAATCCATTATAACTAAAAAAAATAGTCCTCTCTCTCTCTCTCTCTCTCTCTCTGTCTCTCACTCTCTCTCTATATATATCATATTTTTATGTAGGCTATTTACAGAGAGATGAATAGCCTAGGCCTACTGCTTGCATTTCATGAATAATATCTAATAAGGGCTTTACTCCTTTTAACTGTTGTACAGACATCTTTTGAATATGGCAATCAAAGCAGTTATTGTTTTCTGTGGGCGTGCCTGCAGCTCAAATATGAGATTTGCTGCAAAGATACATGTGTGAGTGTGACCCATAGACTGTGGTGTGACCTAACCCAGTAACATTTGCGACTTCTGACTCGCTCTGAGGTGAGAACTACATTACCCAGAATGCTCTTTACCGATCAGTGACGCGGCAGGTTTTTTCTCCGCTCATCTAGTCTCTAGCCACTACAACACAAAACACCACCGTCTGGTTACAGTCTCTCTAGAAGCAGCTGGCGGACAACACCATTTTACAGGCATTATTGTTTGTTTCGACCCTCTGTGTTTCTTCCGAGCCCGAGACTGACTGAGATCACGTCACATTTAATGGCAAAGAGATTATTTTTGTTTGAATTTTGAGGATAACTCAACTCCTGCCTTTGTTAGCAAGTTAGCCTCGCGTGTCCTTAAAGGCTCCTCATCCTTAATTCTCTCTCTCTGTTATATTCTGGTTTGTTTTATTTTCTTTGACCATTTATTAAGTCAAACAGCAGTTGTAGCTAAACCCGTGCTAACGCTGCAGCTCTTTGTTCGTGCCTTGGAAAAAACACACCAGCACCGCTGTGAGTACCTCATATTCACTAGAAAAATAAACAACAGTGCTTGTGTTTTATAAAATACAATTTGTTTTAATAATGATTCTGGCTTGTTTTTCACAGTCTTGTATATTTTGTTATATTTTGTATGTAGGCTATCTTCTGGCTATCATGTTGACTTTAATCGTAAGATTCATTTAAGTTGGTTTCGTGGTTTAGTATAAGTGCTCATCTTTTTTTATGCCTTTTTTATTGTATTGTTTGAGTCTATCAGATAAACTGTCATGGGGTTGTTCTGCTTTTCTAAAAGCGAATTAAATGTCTGTAACAGAAGTACATTTATCGTTTAGCAGAGCAAAGAAGTGTCATTTATATTTCTCTAGGTAACGTATTCTGTCACGTACAACTTCTTTTTTTTTTTGTGTGTCTTCTCTTTTAGTCACTAACTTCACAACTGTGCGTGCTTACTCGACATATCCGAGAATAACCTAGTATTATAGCACTCTATATCATATGTCATGTCCAGTTATTGACAACAAGCCTTCGTTTTCATGTGTTTGCGAAGACAATGGAGAGTCATACTAATTGAGAAAGCAGTGCACTCCATATACTTTATGGACAGAATTTGCATTGACTTTTGTGGGCTCGTTACAGACGTGTCATTGTTCTTTGCTGATGTATTTAAAGAGTCATTTGCATAGGCAGACCGAGCATCTGGTCCGACCCAATGTGGCCTTTGTCCCGTTCCCGTGCTGACGTCAGGATGTCAATCATCCCCCCCCCCCCGTTTTTGGTACCAGCCGGTGGTGCTACATTTGAATTATTTATTAGAACAATCAATGGATTAAGATGAGTTAATACAACATTTACTGTCACTTCATTGTTTCTGCTATCACATTCATGCATACTGCTGAAATGGGAAACTTCCAGCTGTCTAATAAATTGTTCTGAAGCTTAATAAAACTACTTAGTTTGTAGTATTTAGTGGATAGAGAGACTGTACAAAATTGATTGCTGCATTTTAGGCCTGGCCTGTAAAAACTTGCACAGCACATTTTAATCTATTGACATACTTTGAAGTTTACATTGCAAAGCCAAAATAATTATTAGTAATTTTTATGAATGATCTAAAAATATACTTAAAGGGGTCATATGATGCGATTTCAAGTTTTCCTTTCTCTTTGGAGTGTTACAAGCTGATTGTGCATAGATAAGATCCCTGAAGTTGCAAAGACTAAAGTCTCAAAACCAAAGAGATATTCTTTATCAAAGTTAAGATTCTGCCACGCCCCCCAAAACGGCTCGTTCTAACACGCCCCCACATATCTACCTCACTATGTGGAAATATTTGCATAATGCCACCCAAATGTGCACGCAAAGAAAGAAGGCGTGGTTTCAGTAACCGCAGTTAGTGTTGATGCAGCCATGTCAGGGAGACGCTGTGTTTCAGTGCGAAAGCAAAAGCACTTTATTTGGCCTTCCGAAAGTAGATGCATTTAGGAATCTTTAAGATTACTTACAACAGAACAGCAATGCATTTTATGGACGACCGTTTCGTGAACCTAGGAGAGGAGGTAATTCTGACTTTGCTATGACAATCTGGCGCTTCTGAATCAGCTACTGTTTTTTTTATTAGTTTAAGTATTTGCTATTGACTGTTCAAATGCGGAGTTTTGCGCATCGTGTGTGTGTGAGACAGAGACAGAGAGAGACACACATCACAAACACATACCAGCTTCATCACTGTGTCTGTCACGCGACTCTGTTCCCCTTTCGGGCTCTGTCTTTACATTTATTTTGAAAGATGAAGCTTGCGATTATGGTAAGGGGCGTTACATTTCCGACGATTCTGATTGATTGTGTTCGGCCAATCACAATGCACTGGGTCAGCTGGCCAATCAGAGCAGACTGCACTTGTCGGAAGGAGGGACTTTGTAGAAAACGAAGCGTTTGAGAGAGG